TGACATTAGTTCAGCTTTGTAAGAAGATGGCCAGTAATGGATTTTAGCTAAGAATTTGTGAATTATTTGGTTGGAATCATTAACTTGTACCCATCCTATACCCATCATATATTGATTTGTACCAATGTCAATTACAGAGCCATCTGTATAGAAGTTAAATGTATTTTGTGCTGTATTAGTAAGGGAATATTGTTCGAGTATATGTGTGGCTTCTTCTTGCTTAAAATTTCTAATATAGGATTTTATAATCTTAATTTAATTAAATTTATAATATTTATATTAATCTAATTTTTATTAAGCATTGGTATACATAAAATACAATTTCAAACAATACAAAAATTGCTATTAAAATATGAAAATAGGAAGAATATAACCAAACATTAATATGCTAGTCTAGTAGCTTACATATAACTATTTAAAAAAAAAATATGGATTTGATTTATTATATTGTTTTAAAACTAATACTCTCTTGCTATTATAGATAACAAATTATACTAATGCCAAATTAATTAGACAGCTTGCAAAGAAGGTTTTTTCAATTACATCCTATTCAGCTATCTGCAAGAGTTTTTTTAGCTCTAAATTGGTTATATTATAAACAATAACAAAAAATTTTTCTGTTTTGAATTCAAGCTATAATGCAAATTAGAACTTTTTATATTTCAAATATAAAAAATAAATTGGCTTTTTTTAAAAAAACATTATCATTTAGTAATTTAAAAAGCTAGTAATAATAGTAACTTCTTTGATTAAAGATTGTAATAAAAAAAATAATTTTAAAATTTCTGAAGCAAAAACAAAAACTAATCGAAGTTTTAAAGTTATTAACAATCTAGATATTGAAATTATAGTGTATATAAATAATAAAGTATTTCAAGTTGATAAGTCAAATATAAATAGTGAAAAGTCATATAGCAATGAAGAAGCTAATAAATTTGATAATAATAACAAATTAGCAATTAGTAATAATAAAGAATAAAGTGTATTCAATTTTGATTCTACAAATTTAGCAGCAAATTTAGTAAAAGGCTAAGAATTTGAAGATAATAAAAATATAAATAATAAAGATTATAATAAAAATATTGGTAAAGACAATAATAGAGATATTGTTAAAAATAATTATAGAGATATTGGTAAAGTCAATGATAGAAATATTAGTGAAGACAATAATAGAGATATTGTTAGTAAAGAGATAATAGTAAAGATAATATAGATATTAGTAATAAAGATAATATATATATATTGTAATAAAGATAATATTGTTAAAGGCAAATAGATACCAGAGTTGCTCTAACCCAATGCTACTCTGACCTATGCCTTTTTACAACAAGAATGCTTCTAAAACAAGTTAAATATTGTGCATTGATTGTACCCAAGAAACTTGGAAACCAAGTGACTTAACTAAAACAATATCATAATGATGCAGAATTGGAAACTATAGCTATTTGTTGTGGTAGATCTGCCAGATTGGGCTAGTTGTTGATGCTGCATGAGGCCATTCAAAGTTCTAATTACAATAACAAATCTGAAACTATTAAGTTAGTAAGAAAATGTTTAATCTTAGGCTCCTGTGCTATCTCTTTTTATAGAATGCTATTTTTGTATATAAGTGCATCTTTTCTTTAAATTGTAATAGAAAGAGAATCAAGTAGAATTGAAATTATTAATACTAGCCAAAATAATAATAAAAACCATTTTAGTGATAAACTGAGATCTTGCATTTATGTTTTAGCTTTGCAAAATTAGTTTGCATCTTCTATAGTACAATGTTTCATAATGTTTAATATTTTTAAGTAACAATCTGTTACATTTTCCTTGATCCTGTATTCTGAAAATCTAATTTCCTTCTGACAATATAAATATTAATAACAAATATAATATAGATATTAGTAATAAATATAATAAAAAATATTAGTGAGAAAGACAAGAATTTAGAAAGCTTGCCTATAGTACTTTGAAAATTATACTATAAACAATATAAAAAAAAGTAAAATAGATTAGCTAGATTTAAATTTAAAATTAAGTAAATTACATATATAATCTGAACCAGTATTGTTAATAAACATATAAATAGACTGTCTATAGATATATAAAAAAATATAAATATGTCTATGTCCAAATTATGGACAATACTGATCCAGGCATTTGATTACATATTTACAAGATAATAAATTAGCTATCTTTTATTGTATCTACAATATTAATCTCAAATATTAACTTAAATACCTACTAAAATGTTAATATTTTTATTAATATAATAAAAGCAATACTATTTGTATTTCTGTTTTTACTATTTATACCTCTTACATATTATTAATTTTAGATACTAAAATAAACATTGCTATTTGTTTTTTCTACTTTTATTATTCATATCTCTCTCTTATAAGTACAATGCTAATGATAATATATAATATATAATGTTTAATTAAAATTTGTCTTTGCTTAAGTTTATATATCAGTATTATTAAATGCCACACAACTGTAATAATTTTTTTATATCTAAAGAAGTATATGAGTAGCAAAAATAGTGTATAAATAGTAATTTATTATAATAAACACTAAATTTTGTATTGTAACAAATTTATAATATTTCAAATTTATTTATTTTATTTATTTATTCAGATTTGAATTGATTTTACAACTGATAATAATTACTGAATAAATTTTGATTTTATAACTTTTTGTTTAACTGTTCTATTTTTTTAATTTTTTAAAATTTATTAATATTTATTATTTGTTAATAGTTTTATTATTTATCAATAGTTTTGTTATTTATTAATAGTTTTATTATTTATTAATAATTTTATTATTCATCAACATTTTGTGTGATATCACAAATGATGAAATATTTCATTATTACAAAAATAGTTTTGTTAAGAATTATTAAAAACAATATATATTAATATACCAAAAATTTTCAAGATTAACAAACCTATATATAATAGTTATCAGGTAATAGTATTATTATATATACTTTTATTTATTTATTAATTAATTTATTTATTAATTTAATATTGTTATTCTAGGAATTATTTCATTTAATAATAATGGCTAAATATAACAAGAACATGCCTAAGTTTTGACAAATATCTAAGAGCAAAAAAAGTGAAATTATTAAAAAAGTATAATTAGAAATAGGCATTCATACAATATTATGCATATAATTTAATAAATTTATATGTAATAACTTATGTAAAATGCATATAAAACTATATAAATTATTAATTTATATATATAATACTGTATGAATGCCTATCTTTAAGTAAGACCCATAGTTTAATTGTTTTTGTTATAGTTTTTAAAATAATAAACAAAAATATTTTTTAGTTCAAATACAAAAATTTAATATTTTCTCTTATAATTTATAACTAGTATCACGGGCTAGAAAAACGTAACGATTCATGCGCAACGATACGTAGCATGAACGACGATCGGGACCCACGAATCATACATGCATTTCGACCCCCCAAAAAAAGCAAAACACGCATAATCGGCCCCTCATGCCAAGAACACAAGACAAGGTGGTTATGCCAAATTCGGGAAGGCATTACACCATGATAGCGATGTTTCAAGGTGTTGAAATCCGAAGTAATAGAGGGGCATGTTAGTAAGGTTGCAATAGAATAAGGTGAAACTAAAACAATTGAGAAAACGATACTTACCCGTCGAAGTGAAACCCGCGATAGCATGATGGCATAGTGGCGGAATGGTGGGAAAATAGGAGGGCAAACTAAATTCAATAGTAAAACTGTTAGTAATGCGAAATTGTATAAAAGGCAAATAGAAAATTTAATAAAATACTTATCTTTTGGCATTCCCAAGTAGTGGAAGAAAGATCGAAGCCATCCTAATAATAAAAAGTAGTAGTTTATAGGATAGTTAGATAATATATTAAACAATAAAAAAAAAGTACTAAATAAAATAAACAAAATACTCGCCAAATCAAATCCCATGCCTCGAAGCCTTGTCCCACTGATTTTCGTACCATTATGTGACGTCTAGTTCGAAGAAGCGACAGACTCGCCATTTACCTGTCGCACTAGGCTATTAAAAAAATAATGCAAAAGATAATTAATAATAAATATTCATAAGCATTAGCCAAAATTATTAATAAATACTATTATATAAAACAAAAATATAATTTGCTTATTTTACAACAAGTAATATAAAAAAGTATAAAATAAATAGCTATTTATCTTACAATAGCAAAAAAATAAAGAAAGGCATAATCAATTATTTTAGTTATTAGTTTTTATTTTTTTATTTTTTTTTTAAATATTAAGGTGAGTACTTGCGACCCAGGATTTTATTGATAGTATATTTGGCTAATGGTTGC